ACCTTGATTTTCGGAATCAGGGGGTGATTTTACATACGAATTTCATAACGGCGTCTCTGGTAAATTTTGGCCGTCGACCAGTGTTATTAGAGCAAATCCATTTCTTGTGTGCCATTGGTAAAGAAACAGATGTACACTCCCAGCCATTAGATTTGCACAGCCTTTTGATCCTCAGTATGTAGAGGGCTCCAATAGTAATATCCGTGCAAGGATCTAAAAACATACAAAAGAAAATTGCGTGATGCGTCAGTCACCGTAGCTGAATGGGATAAAGTGCGTTCACTTACATAGGTCATAATCCAAAAAATGTGTTTTTACGTGGCGAGTAATGCGATACCGTATGTGACATGATGCATTTAGATAAGATTTTGGTTTTATACAAAAAAAAAATAGTACATCTTGAAACTCGTTTGATAAGAGAAAAGCAAAAAGGAAATATTTGGAAAGCGATAGAAAAAATAAGATACTTAGTAGTTTTGTTTACATATCTGTACATAAAATACAAAAAAAAAATTTATNAAGGAAATATTTGGAAAGCGATAGAAAAAATAAGATACTTAGTAGTTTTGTTTACATATCTGTACATAAAATACAAAAAAAAAATTTATTCGCTTAAGTAAATATACATACATAAACACAAAATTAAAAATATGTACATATGTGATACATACAATAAAAGTGGGCTCTTATTTCCGGGCTGGGACGTGTCCCGTCATGCCGGGCTGGACCCCACTAAAATTCTTAACGTGCGGGCTCGAGCGTGTTTTTGAAGGTTGATTTTGCACTCGTGCCGGGCGGGGCCTGAAAATTTAGGCCCATCTCTGGTTCACACTGAACGAAGCGAAGCGGAGCTTTTCTCATGGACTCGTCTGCAAAAACATCACAAAACTTACCCTCAATGAAAAGCGGCAAAAATATTTGCTCAATTTTATTCAAAAGATTGGATGTAAAATTGGTTTTTATTTGAATTACTATTTGTTTGCAGCAGCATCACGAAGCTGAAAAATTAAATAGAAAATTCAGAATAAAAAACTGCTTTGCACTCGGCCTCAAAACGCTTATGAAAAAGCTCACTGTGTGAATACTTTCATATACAGCAATTTGAAAGCTTCACTTCGCTCGGAACGGCTTCTCTCGGCTCGGCTCCGCTTTCTGTGTGAACGAGCCCTAACCCAGTTTTCCTTTTGTGTGTTTAATATTTATTAATTTTTTATAAAAATATGGCATATTCTATGTAAAAAAATTAAAAACATGTCAACAAAGGGGTGTGGTATCCTAATGACCTACAGAGAATAAATTTCGGGTTTGCAGTTTTGTAGCCAATGCAATTTTTATACATAAACTGCCGGCACAAAGTATTGGCACCGCAAATTTTGCACAGTATATGCAACAATATTTATTCTCATATTTTTCCATTTTGTATAAAAATATGGTTCATTCTACAACAAAAAATATAAAAATATAGCTCCAAAACTTTGTGCAACACTCGCGAAAATTAGGCAAATTTTCATGCAAATTTTCAACTTTTTAATCAGATTTTTTAGATCTTTTTGATTATGCAAATTTGCTGACTGTCCTACGCATTTTGTTTTCTATATAAAAAATTTTCAGAAGTTTTTTTAATATGAAAAAAATGCGAAGGACATTCAACAAAAAAATTCTCAAAAATCAACGCAAATTTTTAGACATTTGAAATTCGCACATTATTATATTATATAAAACTGCATACCTGAATTCTTTTTAGAAACTCTTTATTTTTCTTAATTTTCGTACATTGATTCATTCTTGGATTTAAATGGCGTTTGCTAAAATATAAGCCATATTTTAATACAAAATTAGCAAAAAGATTTTAGCATGTAAAACTTAGTGAATATAACAAAAAAGAGCTGTACGCTCAATTTTGGGAGTAACTGTAAATACCGCTGTAAAAAAGAGCTGTACGCTCAATTTTGGGAGTAACTGTAAATACCGCTGTGCAAGGTAGGGGTCGACTTGGCTATAATGCACTATATGATTTTTCTAAAAATATACACTTTTTGTTACGAATCTTTAAGGGGATATTGGGCGAAGGGTTTCTTTAACACTTTAACACAGTCATGTCCAATGCTGGCAGTATTCCATATGCAAGTGCCCTGCGCTAGGCCTGCCTGCTTTAACAGATCACTTCCTAAAACTTTTAATTTTCAACACCTAATAACTTTTTAAAAAGAAGCCTCCGGAGCCTGGGTTTTCCACTTATAGAATGTGCATAGAGCCGTCCAACAGCGGGTTTCAGTAATTCTTAACAAAACGGTTGCAATTAATTTATATTAAGCTATAACGGCCTCAACCAGAGGTTACGATTGCATTGATGTTGTAAAATCGTACCATTTCCCTTAGTTTTTGGAAATTTGCTGGAACGATAATACGCTTTGACCAGAAGGGACGCAAGAAATCACAAAATTTTAATACACAATTCAGCGTTTACTCTATTTAAAGAAAATTTCAACTTCTCATTAAGAGCTATTTAAGATCACAATTTACAAAATAAATTAAAATACTGAATAAAAAACCCAATTAGTCTTATACTATAGCTCATCTCTCTTTTTCCGCATCTCATCATGTTTGCTCATTTCGTGCTTGGCACTTTTTTGTGTTTGAAACTTCTGGAACTCATTATGTGCATACACATGTTCCGCAGCTTTTGTCACTAAACGTACAAACTCTTTTGGATCAAAGCGATAATTTGTGAATTTAGCATGCGCACCGCCCTGCGGATGATGGCCCTCATCTTGTGGATAAAGTAATTCATCACGTTCCCAAGTTATATAATTAATGCCACGTAGACGCGACAAATCTTTATAACAATTCGGGTCTTCACAATTATACAATTCGAAAATGGTGGCCCAGTTGGGCAAGAATAGCAAGTGTGTAAGACCAGCTCCATGCATGCCAATAAGTATGTCTGTATTACGTGTAAGAGCCAATTGCTGAATGAAGGTGAGACCCCTATAGAGTAAAAATTTCAACAATGAAATTAAAATCGATTAGGTATCAGTTTTTTAATGAAAATACCTTTCGAAAGATATGCGTTGCACATGGTAACTACTGTTGGCGTTAATTTCTTCGAGCAGCTCGTCTTCATTCAAAATTTGTCGATACTTTGTGCGGCGTGATAGTAAGGTAATGCGCAACTTAGCTTGCTGTAAAGGTGGGCGAAATGGTATTTGTAAACGATGCAGTATGAATTCAGAGAAAGCGCGAAATAAGCCGCTACCTTCACAGCCATGAATCTGAAAGACTTTTGATCAGTACTGAGGTAGAAAAATATAAAAGCGCAACTTACCAACGGTGTATTGTAGAAGAGACCAAAAATCATGCGTGGCAATAGAGGCAATACCACATTTCGAAAGCATACACGCTTTCCCTTTACATCGTTCAACGTCCATACTCGATTATCGGAAAATGCTTTGAATGTCTCCGCAAATGGCGAATCATATGGATATGTTTCCCATATCAAGATACGCGTATCGGTGTGGAATGCCAGTGGATGAGACTGGTTCACAAATAGTGAGGCGTATAAGTTGAAGAAGTCACAGAAGTGGTGATACATATTGTAAGTAGCATCAATTTTCATAATAAAAGTGGGCGTATCTACAATTAAATCACATTCGCCACTTGTCATTAGCGGCATTGGCAATTCGTCGAAATTACGCAGCTCTGGTGCCCAAGACTGCAGCGCGCCCATATGATCAAGCTCCGCCTGTAAGCGTGTTCTATTCAACTGACAATGTCCCAATATTTGACTCGGCTTCAGCACATCCATATGATAGCGTATAAGTTCTTTGCGTTGTATTAGATCACGAAAATCTAGAAGCAAGTTGCGTCCCCGACAAAAGCGTAAATACTTGCTGCACTCCAGTGACGAATCGGTGATATAGCTAGGCTCACACATAAGTGATAACTCGCTGATTTGTTGTTTTATGTAACCAAAATCGGCTTGATAGTAAAAAGTGCTCACTTGAGCAGGTTTACTTTGCACCCAGCCATGGTGTTCACCGGGGCAAGTGGGCGTTTGAAAACGTCTGTTTTCATCACAGTCAAGCTCATGACCCCAACATGAAGCGGAGTCGGTCTGGCCGCCAGACACCGTCACAGTTGTTGCGGCCGCTGCTTCTGTAGTAAGTACTGCTGCGTCATTTGATCTAAATGTAGAGGCGTTAGTTTTAATAGCGCGCTGACATTCTTCACTCAGTGCACACTCTTCGCGCACTTGTGGGAAGGTATTCAAATAGCGTATCAAATGATCCGCTGGCAAATTAGGCAAAGGTGTACGAAGCGAATGCTGCTTAATAGTTCCGGTTGTAGCTTCTTCGGCATGCACACACGAATACGTAAGTTGACTTAGAAGTAAGAGTATTAATGTTGTCTTGAGATTCATTTTTCACAGCGGGTTTAATTTTCTACGTTAATTAAGTACTATTTTAGAGTGAAAATTCACAACGGCTCACTTGCCTGCGGTATTGTATTTTAAAGTTGATTTAAATAGCTCTTTCAACACAATTCATCATTGTTGATAAAAGGTGATGCGCGTAGCTTACAAGTGTCCGCCACACAGCCAAGGTAATTGAGTATTAAAAGCCGGTTTGCTTGCGCAGCTGTTGCATGCTGATTCACCGCGCTGCTGTTGATGGTGACTTCACTGTCACCTGTTGTTGTTTCTAACTCAAGGGTGGATTAATTTCTCATGGTTTTTTGGCTTACTTAAGAAAATAAAATGTTAATATCCAATATGAAGAATAACCTTTACCAGTTTTTTTAGTAGACAAGTCGTATCTGCTATCGCCTTCCAGTCTATTATTAAAGCTTTGCTTTCACTATTGTTCCGCTTAAGCGTTCTACCGCCACTGTCAAGCGAACCCAGAGCTGAGCAAACTAGATGTAGCTGACTTTCAGCTTCAATGCAAAGATCTTGTTTCTAGCCCAATTACTTTTTATGGTTTTTTTGCTGCTTGCGTGATTTCTACACCTATTCTGTTTCTTGACTGATGAGTTTTTCGGTTTTGTTTACTTTTGCTTTTTTGATTTCCTTTTGTTTGAAATTTATTGTTGTTTAATTTTCAGATTGTTTACGAAAGAAAATAGTGAGGATGGCAAAAATGGCAATAATGCTGCCACATTCTTGCTAAAAGATTGTAAAAACATTGAAATAGGATATCTAGACAGTTTAATACAGCGTTTTTGCTGCATTTAAAATGCAACATTTAGCACTTTCGAACATATGTTTTCGAAGAGCGTTCATGCTACCGCATTTAGCAAATGTACATTTACGCGAGTTCGAAATAGTATGCTTTTGACAAACAGCCGTGTTCCAGTCGCTTATTCAGATCCGTATCTATTACGATAAATTCTCACGGAAAAGATAATGTCCAAAAATCCCTACTGAAAAGGAAAAAATAAATTCTAAACCGAAAATTCAATACAAAAACTTGAATTGTTTTAACCATAACCAAACATTTGTTTGTGTATATATTCATTTGTCGGTGCTGTCAATTATAATTTCCACACTTAATTAGGAAACAAAACAAACAGAGTTGATCACAAATTAATCCAGATTTCTATCAGCATCATATCGATGTTTAATTTGCGTAACTTTTCTTTATCCAAATAATGTAAAATAATAAATGAAATCTCGATCGGCGATCACTGAAACGCAGCTAGCGACTGTATACTCGAAAAAGCAATGTTGCCACTTCTTCTCATTAAACCATGTTCGAATCGTGGAAATTTTGGAAGATCACAGGGTTGCTTTTAGCATTTAGATTCTAAATTCAAAAATGGAGTTGCATTTAGTTGCATTTAGGTGACGAATTTTGTATGGATAAATGTACATTTAGAGTAGCATTTAGGGCTAAATGCGCTAAATGTGCTTTTACGCGTAAGCAAAAACAGCCCATAAGGGACTCTAAAACGTAATAACGTTATCGACCCAACCAAAAGTTAGCGCTCTTATTAAGATTTTTGGATTGCAATCGATAGTTCGTCGATTGTTCTTCATTGTTCGTCCATTTTTAACATTAGCTCCTCAACCAAACATTTTAATGCATTTTTTCATTTTACGATTCCTGCATAGGACAATTTGAGACAATACAATTGAGAATATGTATTAGTTGTCAAATCGTTGTATAAAGTAGGCGTCCAGGCAATTATAAAGACAATACATTTTTCTGCAATAGCCGTTACGGTCGTTTGGCGTGAATTTCAAAATTTCCAAACACAAACCACTTTTTCATAATTCTGTGATTTTTGCGATTTCGTCTGGCCCCTTTTAGTTAAATTAACCAAGACGTGACCGAATTGTCCAATTTACTGTCCAATTCACTGTTTTCGAAAAATCAACGACAGGGAGGAAGACAACGAGAGGAATGTGAATGGATTAGTGAGAAAGTGTGTATGTGTTGCTATTGTCTTGATAAAATTGTCTCATGTAAACGCCGGGTCAATATGTTCATTTGTCAACTGTAATAAATCGTTTATTCGTCGTTTGTTAATCCCTTAAATCTAGCACAAGCCGTCAACAAAATTCATCACTTAACGGTTTTCCATTAATCGTTTGAACCATAGTAGGGCCGCAGCACGTCGGATCATTTCCGGCAGTTGCAGCGAGATTTTCTGAACTACTTCAATAGATTCAGGACTATTTCGGTATTTTTGGAACTATTTTGCAATCGGGATTTTCGATACTACTTTGATATGTTCAAGACCATTTAGTAGGTTGTTGGGACTATAGCGGGATTTTTAAAACTACATATCTGGCAGTTATTCTCGTTGTAAAAAATTATGAAGTTAAAATAAAAAATTAAATTTATTGAAAATTTTATAATTTCATTTCAAGCGACTCTCGATCATTAAAGGCTTTTTCGTAAAAATTTGGCATGTAATTACACGATGCAGATGGATTTTTACTTAAATATGCCATCTCTAATTGGCCTAAAAACGTATTTTATGTAAAAATATGTGTCCTTAAAGAACCGCCCACACACAACTTTGGCGTTGCATTGGTGTTAACGTCGCTTCAACAGCTATACATGAATACACGAATTCAAACGGTTCCCAGGACAGTCGAGTATACGTTACCGTAACGAGCCATATTTATCTGGCCAGGCCCGCTCACTGCAGCATCCTTCCTCAAACCACTTTGGGCAACGCTAACGACAACACAAAGCAGAAAAAGGGTCAACTCTCAATTATTCACATGCTTCGTTCGTTGGTTGTAGCAAATAACTAAAATTTTAGTAAAATATTTTTTGTTAATCGGTTTAATGCACTTAGTGATCAGAGAAATAATAATTTATCTGTCATTAGTATGTTTATTTAGTAGCAAAAGTATTCGCAGCTAAGCGTTCATTGAACGGAGCACTGGAGTTACTAGCGTTGCTGTCAAAGAGAAGCGAACGCAATTAATTGATTTCTCATATTGAAAACAGTTAAGTAAAATAAAAAATTTATGCATAAAATGTTTTTCCCTAGAGGTAGATTAGCTGGTGACAAATGCCTCTTTTGTCCAGTGTACTAAGACTGCTTTTACACAGTTCAAGTATTGAATTCAATTCTGCTCGCATGTGGAAGAGAGGGGGTGAGAAGAAAAGGGACGAGTACACATGCGTCTGTACCGTCAAGTCGTTTCAACTTTCTTGCTTTGCTTTTGGCATTTTCGTTGCTTCCCATTTAAAGAACCAAAAACTTGAATTCAACAGAATTGAAACGTGTAAAAGCAAATAGAAAACACAAAAGAGAATGAGCAAGAATTGCTTTCAAGTACTTGAATCATGTAAATCGGGTGTAATTGTGCCTGCTTTCAATTTCGTTAGTTTGCGTTCGTCGCCGTTTTCATTTGGTTTCAAGCCGATTTTGACTTACACAGCAAAGCAACGATATTTCATTTTCGTAAACACATACACATATGTTCATATGTGTTACCCGAATCCCGTTGAGCTAATCCCATGTTATATGGTTTTAATCTTTGGCCGACTGTCCTTGTACCACTCACTTATAATAGAATGCGGCTATTATTATCTCGATCGAAGGTATATGGCAGCTCGTTTATTTTTTTGCACATCAGCTGATTGCCAAATATATGTCAAGTTTGACTTTTATTATTGAAAGCAAGGGTATTTTTGCAATTTTCAACCGAATTTGTGCGAGTGATTTTTCTGTAAATTAAGCGTGTGAAAAGCGATATAAAACAAAATATAATTAATCATCACGTCATCAATATGCGTGAAGTTCCAAAAACGTACGTTTACAACAGTAAAATCTAACAATATCGGCATAATTAATGTTTCTTGCAGGCTCAGCATTGCGGTGACCACACCTGGCAGTTCAGGACCGTCAGGCGCACCATCGTCCGCAGGAAGGCAAGCCAGTCTTGAGGATATACACTTGGATCAGTTCCTCAAAACTTCGAACTATGAAGATACAGTAAAACAATTGGATATCTATTATGGAATTGGTAAGCAAATGACTACCCGTGTGTATGTACATACATAGACAATTTGAATAAATTTTTAATTGACTGTCCTCTGAATTGGCTGTTGCTAGCGTTATATAATTAGCAAGGTAGGAATTTTTATTGACTGCAAGACGATCGCACACAACGCGACAACATGCCGTTTATTGCTTCGAGTTGTCAATTAGTTATTTTTATACACTTGAGAGAAATGCACAGCAGCAGAGTCAAGCTCATGTTCTTTCGCCCTGTTTACACACAGCAGCTCAACAACATTGCTTGCCGATAATTGCGGCGTTGATGCTCGCTTTGTTGTTATTGCTGCACATTTTTGCAAAGTAAAATAAATGTTTTCAATTTAGCTTTTCGTGTTTTCCTTCGCGTTTGTTTACATCGCCGGTTCGCATCGCTAGCAGCAGCGCCTTTTATTTGACAAAAATACATTGACCTTTTGTATGAAGCAGCTGCTAGTGATAAGAAATGCACTGCGTTGGTAAATAAACATAAATTTCAGCCACTACTTGTATGAAATAGAAACAGAACAAAAAATAATTTTTGGCTTTAGTTCAAAGTATATTTTAGCACATTTTGATTTTGCGGCGAAATTCGGTCAAGGACACTGCCATCAATAAATGTGTGATGCAAACTTACGAGCTAAATTTTAATAACTTGTATTTGCAGTCAAGCGGCAATTACTCCGCTTCCAAAGCCCCATAACCGGTCTCTTTCCCATAATGAGTACGGATCATGAGGTGGGCTCTGTGCGGGATAGTGTTTACTGTGCAGCTGCTGTTTGGAGTTTATATCAAGCCTATCGACGCATTGATGATGATCGTGGCAAATCCTATGAACTAGGGCAATCGACAGTGAAATGTATGCGCGGCATACTGGAATGCTGGGTAAAGCAGGCACGCCGCGTAGAAGTCTTCAAGCAGCGGCAATCGAATCAATATGCTTTACATGGTAAATTTCATTTGCACACTGGTGAAGTGATTTACGCCGATGAAGCCTACAATCACTTACAAATCGATCTAGTATCGTTGTACATAATTTTCTTGGTGCAAATGATCACATCAGGTTTGCAAATCATTTATACGCAGGTAAATAAGTAAAATTTAGGTTGTGTGTATGTATTTTTTTTTTTTTAATGAAAAATTGTATTTTATATACAGGATGAAGTAGCCTTTGTGCAAAATTTGGTTTATTATGTTGAACGCGCATATCGTACGCCCGATTTCGGCATGTGGGAACGCGGTTCCAAGTATAACAATGGTACACCAGAAATACATGCTTCGTCTATTGGTAATTTATTGCAATAATAGGTAGAAATTCATGTATGTGATTTACTTTAACTGTTTTCCATTTTTTAGGCATGGCCAAATCGGCTTTGGAAGCCATCAATGGTTGCAATCTATTTGGCGAGAAGGGCGCTTCGTGGAGTGTGGTTTATGTTGATATAGATGCGCATAACCGTAACCGCAGCATTTTTGAAACAATGCTACCCAGAGAATCAAGCTCAAAAGTATGTAAATATTAATCGCTTGTCCCTACAGCAGTTATTGACTTTTTGAACTTTACTTTATAGGGCGTTGATTCATCACTATTACTAACATTGTCTTTTCCTGCCTTTGCTTCGCACGAAGAGCGACTTGTTGAGCAAACCAAACATAATGTTATCACACGCCTGCGCGGCAAGCGTGGTTTCAAGCGTTTCAGCCGTGACGGTTTTCTTAGTAAATTGGAAGATAAGGATAGACGGTTAGCATAAAATAAAACTTCGACATACACATATCACACGGTTTAACAAACCATTCCTGATTTTAGCTATTACCATATTGGTGAACTGAAAGATTTTGAGGGTCACGAATGCGAGTGGCCGTTATTCTTTATACAAATGATAATTGATGGCGTATTCAAGAGTAATCCAGAGCAAATTGAAGAATATCAAAATGAATTGCGCAATTGTCTACACACTGATGTCAATGGTGATCCGGTGGTCACAATGTATTATGCACCAGATGGTGAGGGCTCCTATGTGCGTTCACCTTCGCAGACGCTCTTCCTTTGGGGTCAATCGATGTTTATTATAGCACAATTACTAACTGCTGGTCTATTGCATATCAATGAATTAGACCCAATACGTCGTTACCTACCCAGCTACAATCGTCCAAGACGCGCTGGTCGTTATTCAGCATTTCAGGTACGTTTTAAATTCCAAATTGACACAGCTACATATATTAAATGAAAAGTATTAATCAGATAATTTTTGCTAGGGTACGCTTTTTAGTGAAAAAAATAGCCTTGATTTAAATTAATTCCTTTAAATCCAGAACTTACTGACCACTGATTTATTAAATTTAACAAACAAACAGAATAATTTAAAACTTTTTAATACGTATAGTATATTTTAATAATACAATTGGCTGTTTTATATATTTTTATATGTTTTTGTGATATCCCTTACAATTCCTTTACAATATCCTAAATAACATGTAAAATTGGTTACATAATACACGTACACATGGGCAGGGAAAAGCCGTCGATGACAAATATACCGTAAGTGGAACTTTCGAAAATGAAAAATTCTAGTTTTTGCGTTTTTTGTTGTAAGAAGTAGTAGCCATACACTGAATACACACAGCAAGCACTATGCTCGTATAGATTAAATAAAGTTTTTAAGAATGCAAAATCACTGATTTTCTTTAGCTTTACCTCTCCTCAATGCACCATGTGTAAATTACTTGTTGGAACACGTATTTTTTTCACTACGTCTTGTGCTACCTATAAATATCGCATAGGGTCATTCCATTGAAAATAGGAAAACGACATCAATTTAAATATGTCATAAATATCTCTATTTCAGTAGTAACCTCTTTTTGAAAGAACTCATTCACTTGTGGGAAAAAATTAAAAGAAGTTTTAATTTTTGTCTATGGAAACTTTTATTTCATGCATAATTACTTTATACATACCAGTCACAATGAGATTATATAAACCTAATTTTTATTGAAAACAAAAGCGTGTAATTCATATTTTACAACACAATACATCTTCCGTGAAAATTAAGTTTTTTGGCTAAAATTCACAGGGGTAAAATAGAGTTCTTTTCAGTGTCCCACTAGTCACAATCATTCAATTGATAGTTACATAAAACTAAGAAATCATTTGGTATTTTTGTTAAAGCAATTTTATACATTAGTTATCGTTCTTTGTTAAAATATATCTTTCGCTGTTGTATAAGTTCCGACGACATAGTTAAAATTCACAATTGACCACAGTCTGGAGTAAAATGTCCCACTAGTCACAATGGAATGGCCCCATAAATATTTTTCACATTTGAATGTACTTTTTAGTTTGATATTTAGATACATTTCACTTACATGCGGTGGCAAAGTGCTTTCAAATATTGCAATTATACTATCCATACCCTTGTAAATATAACTATGAATCTTCTATTCCATTCAAATGCATATCTGTGAAAATCCACTTCTTCCGTCGAAGGAAAAATGCTGTATCTGTATATTTTCAATTTAAAATTCGTATTAGATTTACTAATCCTCATAGCAGGATGCTTTTAGTACTATAAATTTCAGTAAAATTCTGCTAGTCTTACTAAAGGTAGAAACAGTCGAAAAAATGCAAGTACATATTTATGATTGACTTACGAAAAAATTAAATTTATTAATCAGTCCCACCTTTACTCTGCTTAGAAAATCAACACCATGCTTTAACAAATATGCCGCTTTTAGCGTTCACAAGACAATCAGGTCTATGCACCGCAATAACACGGATTTTTCGCGACCAAGGAATGTTGTTTTAGCGATCTAACCCGGTGCTATTCGGTGAGCCCCATTCAGTGTTGTCTGTCTCCGGGTTGCAGCCGTGGTCGACAGCCGTTAGTATTTTTGGAAGATCAATCTACGAAACTGTCATCACAAAGGTGAAAAAAGCTCGATTGGCAACATACAATGTGATTGGCCGGACTTGATTTACAAGGCAATTCTGGCAACTGTCTTTCAACTCGACAGGCTTTCGTAAGACAATTATCATTTCTGGCAATTATCTTGAAATATCTTTCCTGCCTTTTGGAAGGTCTACTAATGAGTAGGTTTTCGCGTTATTCTGTTCGTCTTTTACCCTACTTCTTCACCTTCTACAGATTCTGTTAGAAAAGCTGTGTTAAGACAGAAATATCAGGTGGAGACCGCAAATTGCCACTGTTAAACCATATCTGTCTTGCCGAAATTCTTACCATCGCTGTCTTACCAGCAAATGTCTTTTCGTTGTATGACAACTCAATTTTCATTTTATTGCGCCATTTACATTGGGCACAGGTCGATCTGATTGGCTTGGAACATTTTTGAAAATGAAATGTTAAGACAGCAAGATGCCCACATGAGAAAACGGGACAAAGTCAAAACCGAAATGGGGGGTTGGCAATAAGTTTTCTAAAAATTAATTTAAATGAAAATTATCTATTTTTATGTTTAGAACAATAAAAGTCTAAGATAAAAAAATAAAAAATGATGAAAAAGATCAAATCAAATAGCTTTAAAATTAAATGAAATTAACAAAAATATATATATAATAAAATATAAAATTTAAAAGCAATTAAAATTAAATTTAACAAAAAAAATATATAAAAGAAAAAATAAAATATGTACATACATAAGTGCATAAATATTAAAAGAAATAAAAAAAAACATAAATATCAAGTAATTATAAAACATATTGCTCATTTAACATTAAATCTGATAATTAAAAAGAGAAAAAATAAAATGCGTTCCTAAAAATTAAAAGAAAAAAAAAAATGTTTTTCTCTTTAAAGCAATGAAATCTAAAATCAAAAACAAAAGTAAATTAAAAAAACAAAAAAAAACAGAAAATAAAAATAAAAGTATAAAGAATTAGAGCTCCTAAAAATTAAAACGAAATTTTGAAAAATATTTTTCGATTAAAACAATAAAATCTAATAATTAAAAAAAGGAAACAAAATTAAATAGTTCCTAAAATTTAATAAATATTTTTGTTTTTATAAACAAAAATTAATTAAAAAAATAAAGTCCAAGAGATGAAAAAGTAAAATAAGTTTCTAAAAACTAACTGAAACTAAAAAAATATATAATTTTTTTAACAATAAGACCTAAAAACTAAAAGAAAATTAAGTGGAAAAAGAAAAAAAAAATCAAGTTAATAGAAAGAAAAAAAGGCGTGAGTACTAGGTACTCATGAAATTTGATGTGTAAACAGATGCGAACGGCAAAGCATAAAAGTACGTTTACATATAAATATAATCTAATCAAAGCTCGTTGTGCTTGTCAAATTGGTTGTGCTTGTTATTCACACAACTCGAGGAAAAGTTAAACTTCTTCTCTGTGCCACCGTGGTCACTTTTTTTCTGCAACACATATTATGCCATTTAACTATATTTTAACTGAATATTTTATTAAAAATACCTTTACAAACCTATTTTCCTTACTAGGGTCAATTTTTGTTTAACATTTGAGATTCTCTTTTTCTAATAAAAGATGAAATTATCGGTATGATTGATAAAATATACTTGTATATACTTGTCACTCAAGGGCGTTGAAATATCTTGGAAACACCGCATCAGTTATTGTTTTTGAGCTTATAGTTTGAGCATTTCTATTTGTATATATTCCTAAATTTAGTTTTTCTTTTCGGGATATAATCTGTGGTTCATGTAAATGCAGTTCATGTTGCAGGATTTTACCCGATGCTTTTTTAAATGATTTCAGTATTTATTTTAAATTTCCGTCTTGCTTTTTTATCCAAATAGACATCTAAACCATCTACGAATATCAAAATGCATGTGCGGAGTTTAAATAATCGGAAGTAATAATCAATTGTAGCGCATTTCCTCTTACTATGCATATGCCTAAATGTATGCAACCATTTGTCAAGCGAACACAGGGTGCTTCTAATGAAAATAAAAATTTTATGCTGAAATACACATGCTAAGCCCTTCGAAATTTTGTGCTGGGATATGCGTTACAGCTTCGCAAATTTTACCCCTACCGAAACCAAAGATGTATACACATCAAAAATTCCGCTGACCGAGGATGCGAACCTCGGATAACTCCAGCTCTTCTTCACCATTAAAGCTAGCAGGTAGCCTTTTTTCAAGACTTTCGTGCCAGAATCAATTCAATTCAATTTCAATCGTTTTACAAAAGACTTGCAACTATCTTAGCCAGTGAACGAAGCTTCAGGCCTGTCAGAATGCCGCAATCAGTACAGCCACGGCATGCCCCACGATTTCGCCTTAATACATAGGCCCCAATGATTTCAGTCAGGGGGTATACCATCATGCTTAGCAAGATGTTCCTGTTGACATGATACTCTAGGGACCCCTGCTGCGTCAAGAGCCTTTTCATGGATCTTAAAGGTCGTACGACATTCGCTGAACCAGGAATACTATAGACAAGCAATACCTTCGTCAATAATCGCAGACAAAGAGCTCGAGCTGTCACGACAGATCCGCGTTACTTTGGTACCACCACATTCAACATAACCAACTCCAATCCCGTTGTAACTGCTTGTTTCCTAAGCATGACCTAAGATGAGATTGGCGACCACACTTATTGGGCTCACTGATTTATGCAGGGTTTACACATAGTATTAAGGTGCTACAACAACAACATTGCCCTTTCTGAATTATAATTTAAGATTTTGATGTCATTCTTTTTAGCGTAAAATTACAAATTACGCTGGTCTTAATTTTATTGACAGACGAGACCGTTCATTTGCAATTAATTTCTCTTTAAACAAATCATTTTCCAAACTTTTGAACTGTTAAAGTAGTGAAACAAAACCGTTTTCGAGTCAAGGAAATTCTACTCCCAAAAAGGGGTTCAGCTAGTAGACTTAAGTAGAAATGTATGTACATTACGGTGGTCCTTAAAATATCCACATCATGAGGCACTCCTTTATTTTGTTGTACGTACATAATAAAGACATCCACGAAATGGAAAAAGTAATCTTAGCGGTCACTACCAGGGTTTGGAAAATTTTTTTTAAATCGCAAAAGTTCAACAAAAGTTTGACTTTGACCAGCTATTCAGCGAGTTTACGAAATTACATGAATAAGTTTCACTAATATGCCAAATTTATCAGATTTCAAGTCAACGCTTTTTAGAATCTGTGCGTTATTTTTTATTTAAAGTTTTTCAAACCCTAATAGCGACCACTAAAAAGTTTTTTAAAATGTCTACATTTTCGTAAATGTCTTTACTTTGTACGTAAAAATTTAAATGTTGATACATAAAGGGTCATCCTAGTGTACATATGTATGTGCGTCTCAAAAATTTATAAAGCAAAGCTTCTCAAAGCTAAAGCTTTTCCACGCCAATATCCACACACCAGTGTATGTATGTAAGTATGTACACATTTTAGTCTCTAAGCCGAAATGGTGTATATACATATATTAACAAAAATTCTAAAAAAACCCAGCTTTACGCTACTAATTTCACAGGACAAAAAAAAAAACAAAAACAACTAAACAGTATACACAAAACAACAAAATTGTATATGCAACCTTACGCTAACGCATTTAGTTTTAACTGCTTACATATAATTTTTTATCTACAAAACTTTGTTTTTTTTTTTTACTTTTTCATTCCCACCTTAGGCCAAACCGGGCACTGTAAGTAACAAAATCAAAAATAACGACCAGGTTTTTATTGGGTCCTTGTGCGTGGCTTTGACTTTTGTTTGTACATGTTTTGTTTTCTAAAAAAATTTTTTGTGTTTATTTTTGTTTACTTAGTTAACACAAATATTTAGTTGCAAAAAGTTTCACAAATATTTAAAAAAAAGGCAAACACACGCATACAAAACATTTATTGAAAAAAAAGATCGCATATACAGTGCTATGTGTGTATGTATGCATGTACACATGCCGGAGATATCCCTACATAAACACCCAAATAGTTTAGTCGTTTAGCTATGAAATAAACTAACCATAAATTCTATGTACTATCACTTTAGAAAATTCAACATTTAACAACCTTGATTTTTGCATCCCATACTAACCAAAAAAAAAAAAAAAATAAAATTCATGTGTGACTAGAGGCTACGTGTACCGGCAATTGTGGATGGCAAGGAGGTAATGCGCGTGCTCCATTGCTTTGATACTACTTTGTAAATACATACAGACATGCTTAATAATAATTATGTATGTAGTTGCCTCACATTACTTGCTTTAAATACATATCGTTTAAAGTACCAAACCGCGTATCGTCATTCTGCAAAACCGCTTAACTGACATTTGCTGCCAAAAAGGGGATTTGCTCATACAAGCTCTTGGCTCAATCCTTATCCATTCGTCCCGAAATATAATAGCCAGAAATGCGAAAAATTTTGAAATATGAGTGTTTTCACTCTCTAGAAAATAGCTAATGCAACCTCACATACGCGGTTTTGCATTTTGTTGATACGCGGTTTTGTACTTTAAACGAAAATATGTATGTATGTATTTCACTTTCTAATGCACTTATCATATATATATATATATAGCATTTGTAGTGGTACTTCTTCTGACTTAAAACCTGACAAGTTCTCTTTACTCCTTCAAACGGTCAGTAATCAGAAAGAAATTGGCTTATTTAGCAGGGACCGCAAATAACGGATCATTTTTTTTTAATTTCAACTAAACAAAAATCACATTGAAAGAGCAATGCTGGATGCATACGGAGTACACCAAAATATTTGCAGTTATTTAAACTTTCGTTAGCGGCAATGATTTTTATTTTGCCAGTTTTATTGAAAAAATGAAGTTTTAAAGTTATTTTCGAGTTCTATTTGTTTATTGTTTGAAAAATAACAGGGCCCGAGAATGCGTTCCCACAAAAGAACCAAACGGAAACAAACGCAGTTTGAACGGGAACCAAATGAGAACAAAGGTTCCGGAGCTTTTCCGTAAAGAACAAAATGCGAACAAAACTCTCCGGAACTTTTCAAGAAGAACAATATGAAAAATCGCTTCAGTACCATATTTGTACATTTTCATAGTTACAGAGTGGTGTTGTTTGGAACTTTGTTATTGAGTTGAACTCATTATTTCTAGACAACACCACTCTGTCACTGCCAAATCTGTACAAATGTACAAATCGTGTGATCTTTGCTTTAGCTGAAATCATTTTAACTTCCATAGCGTTATCAATTATGGCATAATTTTTCATTATCTGTGCAAGAAAAGTTCGTGTCTTAAGTCTTTCGTTGACTTAATTTGCATAAATATCTTTCAATTCTTTTCAGATTAGTTTTAATATTAAAACGTTTCAAACTAATGGAACGCTATGATACAAATTTTGTTCTCGTTTCCATTCTTCGCGAATAGTTCAGAGAAGATTTGTTCCCGTTTCGTTATCTGTCAGAAAGTTCCTGAGACTTTAGTTCCCAAAATGGTTCTTCCAGAGAAAGTTTCTTAGACTTTAGCTCCCGTTTTGTTCTTTTCTGGAACGTTCCGAAGACTTTCGTTTCCATTTTTTCTTCTTAGAAATGTTCCCGAAAGTACCGTTCGCATTTTATTCTTTTTGGGAACGTTTAACAGGGTTTTGTTTTTTATATAATTCCCGTTGAGAACGTTCTCGACAGTTTTGTTTTCATGTTCGTTCTTGTGAAAATATTACCGAAGACTTTGTTCTCATTGCGGCTTAAGGTTTTTAGCGTTCTTGAGAACAAAACTAGGACAACGGCATTTAGTTTGGATCATACCTTTTGTTCTCGGTTTCCTGAAAAATAATCGTTATTTTATTTTTTTTTTTAATTTATTACTAGGAAAAAATTTTAATTTTTTTAGTTGAAGATGAAGATGATGATGAAGAGGAAAATGAATATGAGGATTATGATGAAGGTGCAGATGAAGATGAAGATGAAGATGAAGATGAAGATGAAGATGAAGATGAAGATGAAGATGAAGATGAAGATGAAGATGAAGATGAAGATGAAGATGACAACGAAGATGGAAATGAATTTGACGATGACGATGAAGTTGAAGCTGAAGATGACGATAGAGCTGTAGTTGAAGATGTATGCTGCCTACCTCACCTCGCCGTCGTCTTATTATTTATCTTCTCCTTCGCCTCCGTTTTCGTTGGCTTCATCAGACATTGAGTATTGCTCACCAACTGAAACTGATTGTTCAGCTGCCGTTCTACGTAACGGAATTACTTGGGGTTTTCCCGACCAAGGGCGACCTAATCTCGTTGAGATCGGCGAACCTCATCAGTCCTTCTGTCCGACTATACCCTATTGTATCCCTGTAAATACCTATAATATTTTCATATATAATAAATAATGCATCGCAAAATCCTCATCAGAGATGAAGAATTTACTTTTTCCTGGCTAGATTATACTTTTGGATCTATGATGATGACGTTAGAGGAGAAAACAGAAATAAAACTAAGTATGTAGATGACGATACCTAATGGCATCGATAACCAAAGAGATTTATAACGATGACAATATCGATATGCCATAAATATAAAACAATAAAGGTTGTGAAAAAAAGTTTTTTTTTTACAAATAAAATCGCCGCTTGGTGTCGGCGGAAAGCTGTAGGTCCCTGCCCTGCCCAATTGTGGGACAACATCAAGGCGCACGACACAAATCGGAGCAGAAGCTCGGCAGCCTTATCATTAATTTAACTTTCACCCGAAATCGTTCACTTTTCCCTACCGTCTACTCACAACGGGCGGATGAAAAAAATTCGGGCGAATTTGGCTTCGGTGAAACTCACTGTTAAGGCTGAATTTTCGAATATCGAATAAACCGATTTTTTAATTATCTCTAAATAGCATTCCATTACATTGAAAAACTGCATATTCGAATACCTTAAACAATTTTCGAAACTGCGTTGTTCACAAATTTTGGTAGAATATATTAAAATACACCTTCATTAAAAATTAGAAAGTGTTACTATCAAAACCAACGGTTTTTATTTTTTTGTTATAATGTTTTTTTTACTTCTTCTGTAAAATAGAAAATTTGCTCTTCTTTCGATTTAATGTTACACAGTGCAATTCTTCTATAAAAGTTCATTTAGTTTTCGTTCATTCTTAATTTTGTTCTAATAAAATTTGCATGATTTTATCAAAAAATAAATAAAAAATCAAAAGAAATTAATAACTTTTTTTAAATGTTTATATGTGCCTCATCTATAATTAATATTTAAATAATCAATCACTTCGCTTGTGTGTTTTGCTTGCATGCCGTTAATGCATAAATGGGCAACCATCTGCCTGATTCGAATTCTCAAATGTTTCGATTAACAACTTTGTGCTGCGTTAACATTTTTATGTAAACCTCGATGCTGCGTAACTAGTTGTGTTATTTTATTACTCAAATAGCGGTTATTTTTAAATGCATTTAACAGTAAATTCTGCATATGTTTTTCTTTCTGATTTGAATTTCACTTAAATAAATATTTGAAATTCTTTCCTGCGGTTATTGAATTATACTCACGTATTTCATTTTTATTTTTTTTTTTCAACAACTCCCAAATTTCCAGGGTACTGCCACGGATCTGGTAGTGCAAATTGTTTTGATCGCTGAATCGCAACGTCTGCAGGCAATGATGGCAACATATGGCATACAAACGCAAACACCGCATGAGGTAACTATTTTATTTTTTTTTATAATGTTACCGATTTTATAACTGATCATTGTAATTTTGTTTTAATTCTCCAGGTTGAACCCGTGCAAATTTGGTCTTCCACCGAACTTATCAAAGTTTATCAACACTTGGGTGTGAATAGCAAAGTTGGCCTATCCGGTCGTCCCGGCCGCCCTGTAGGCTCACTGGGCACCAGCAAAGTATATCGCATCTGTGGCATGACTGTACTCTGCTACCCACTCATTTTTGAGGTATCCGATTTCTATTTGTATCGTGACATGGCGCTGCTGATTGATGATATCAAAACCGAGCTGCAATTTGTCGGCAAATATTGGCGTCTCTCTGGCCGCCCCACAGTGTGCTTGCTCATACGCGAGGAGCATATGCGCGACCCGCAATTCAAAGAAATGCTCGACTTGATGGCCATGCTGAAGAAAGGCTACTGCGATGGCATGAAAGTGCGCATAGGACGTCTGCAGAATTTGATAAGCAGTTCGTGTATTGGTAAGCGGGATCAATGTACCCTTTTTTATTCTTAGTTAAACTGTGTACTTTAAAAATTTCTTACTTCTTCTAGAGCATCTCGATTTTGTGAATCAAAGCAATTTGTCCTACAATGAAAACGCTTTTGTGCAAATCAATCATGAGTATATCGGCTATCAGTCGCTCACCGATGTACCTAAGGCACTAACATATATTGAACAGAAAACTTCGCTGGACGTAAGCGTTTTGTTTTCCCCTCAAAACAATCTGCTGTTTATTAAAAACTAACACTTAAAAACTTTCTTAACAGCACTTTAAACACAAACCTACGCACGAAATCATTGAAAAAATGCGCAATACCGAATCCATTTATTGTCTCTGTCAATTGTGGGGCATTTTGTTGGAGCGCGAAGGTGCCAATTTCGAAGTGAATGGCCTAAGCGTAAATCAAGCGCTCACACAGCTCTATCATCGTGCGGGTTCGTTGCGCTATTGGCGCGCAGTGCGCTACTGTTCCTCGTTATTACATCACATTGTCGATTCGATTAGTCCTTTCATCACCACTGTGTTGGTGAATGGCAAGGAGTTAACTGTGGGTGTTATTGGACAAAAGGAAACAAATTTCGATAAACCAATGACGCCGGCAGAGATACAGAATGTGATGTATACGACAGTGCAGCCGTACAATGTGATACAGGCGGTGCTGCAGCAGGAAGTGGTGTTGTATTGTGGTCGTTTGATCGCCACAAATCCATCCATGTTTAGGGGTATATTGAAGGTGAAAGGAGCGAGATATTTTTGTGCCACTTTCAATAGAATTTTTTCCTTTTAATTTTTTGTTGTAGATACGTATTGGTTGGGTACTGGAGGCCATGCGTCTGTACTTACAAATGTCCGGGCAGGAATCGATTGATTTGGAAAATCTTTCACCTTACCAAGTGCGTATACTCCTGCAAAAAGTGCTGACTGTAAGCGAATGGGCAGCTGAGGAAAAGTAAGTTAATAAGAATATCAATATGATAATGAAAATGAGTATGCGTATGAGATCCATATGAATCGGTAAATTATCAAAGGGAATAAGTCAGCATGTTTTAGATTTGCAGTTCGGTTCGTTTAAAGGAGCTCTATTGAACTGCATCCAATTTATGGTGTCGACTTATTCCTTCTTTTTAATTAACCGATCCATATGAGAATAAATAGGCATATGAATAGAAATAAAAATCTGAACCTGAATATAATTCGTAATAGGAATATGAATATAAGTATGAACACGTGCATAAATATGAATTTGATATCGAAATTAAAAATTAATTAAAATTAATGTATGTAAATGAATTGAATAACATTTTTCTAGGCTTACGACGTTGCAACGTCGCCAATTAGAGGGTTGCCTCTGCCGAGTACCGAAACATTTCTATAATAAAATATGGGAAATCCTACAACGTACTCAAGGTATTACAACGCAAGGTCATCTCCTACCCACCGTACCTACGTTGACAAATATGAGTCGTGGTGAAATCACGTTCTCACTGCTGGTGGAGGAGACACTTATGTGCATCGATTGCCCTGAAAGGCGACAAATTACAGTGGAACTGTTATGCATCATAGCGACGATATTGAATCGGTAAGAAGTTAAATAATATTGGAAAAAATTCCTGAAATATTAATGAAACAAACGCACGAATCGTAACATCCTCAGTCGTATGATTAATTTGTTAAAAATAAATTCTCTGCATGCTTACAGCGCAAGCATTTAAACTAGGTTTAGTGGAATAAACAAAGTGTAGAAATAGTAACTATTTCCGAGAAAGAGTGGAGTATATAATTTGTGAGTGTCCAGCTTTCAGCAGACAAAGACAAGCGTTATTACTACATGAAGTCCAGCCTACAATTAGCAATCGTCAAGGACCAAAGCGTCTACTAAAATTCTCCAAAGAGGTCGGAAATGCT